AAAGAAGCACCCAAGGCTGTTTATGAATTGGAAAGTTATGGTTTACCATTCTCTCGTACTCCTGAAGGCAAAATTTATTAAAGAGCATTTGGAGGTTAAAGTTTGAAGTTTGGAACAGGTGGATAAGCATATAGATGTTGTGCAGTGGCTGATCGTACTGGACATGCTATGTTACATACACTTTTTGGCAGAGCTTTAGGTTATGATTGCATTTTCTTTGTTGAATATTTTGCACTTGATTTAATGATGGATGAATAAGGGTAATTTTATATTTATTATAAATTTATAGAGCTTGTAGAGGAGTTGTATGCATGTCAATGGCAGATGGATCAATCCATAGAATTAGAGCTGGATATACTGTTATTGCAACAGGAGGATATGGAAGAGCATTCTAATCATGTACATCAGCACATACATGCACTGGTGATGGTGGTGGTATGACAATTAGAGCTGGTTTACCTATGGAAGACTTAGAATTTGTGTAATTCCATCCTACTGGTATTTATGGATCTGGATGTCTTATGACTGAAGGATGTAGAGGTGAAGGAGGTATTCTTAGAAATTCTTTGGGAGAAAGATTTATGGAAAGATATGCTCCTACTGCTAAAGATTTAGCTAGTAGAGATGTTGTTTCTAGAGCTATGACTAAAGAAATTTTAGAAGGAAGAGGGTAATTATTATTATATAATAATCTTTCTTAGAGTTGGACCAGAAAAAGATCATATTTATTTACATTTAAATCATTTACCTGCTGAATTATTACATGAAAGATTACCAGGTATCAGCGAAGCAGCCAAAATCTTTGCAGGAGTTGATGTAACCAAAGAGCCAGCACCTGTTTTACCAACCGTCCATTATAATATGGGTGGAGTACCTACAAATTATAAAACTGAAGTGTTAAATTAAGTTAATGGAAAAGATTAAATTGTTCCAGGACTATTAGCTGCAGGAGAAGCTGCTTGTGCTTCTGTCCATGGTGCAAATAGATTAGGAGCCAATTCTTTATTAGATATTGTTGTTTTCGGAAGATAGGCTGCCAATTTAGTAGGTGAGAAATGGAAGCCAGGATAAAAACAACCAGATCTTCCTAAGAATGCTGGTGAAGCTGCTATTGCAAGAATTGATAGACTTAGACATCATGAAGGAACATAAACAATTGCTTAAGTTAGAAAAGATTTATAGAGAACTATGTAGAAACATGCAGCTGTATTCAGAATTGAAAAGACTCTATAAGAAGGTGTGGAAAAAGTGAAGGAAATCTATTCAAGAAAGGATGATGTTAGAATTAAAGATAAGGGATTAGTTTGGAATTCTGATCTTATTGAAGGATTAGAATTAGAGAATTTATTATGTAATAATAATACTTAAAATTAGTATAAGGAAAAATGACTATAGAAGGAGCTCTGAATAGAAAGGAATCTAGAGGTGCTCATGCAAGAGATGATTTTCCTGATAGAGACGATAAAAATTGGATGAAACACACTCTAGCTAGAATTCAAGATACTAAGTCAGGAGATGTTCAATTGACTTATAGAGATGTATATATCTATTAATAAATATAATCATAGGTTATTACGAAAACCATGGATCCTAATGAATTTGACACTGTACCACCTAAGAAGAGAGTCTATTGATAATTATAAAATAAAATATATATAATAATTTAAAACCACTAAAAAATCAATTTCCAAATATGAAATAGAAATCTCTTTAAAGTGATTTAATATGTTTTAATTTATTTTTAAAGAGACTATTAGAATTTATTTAAAAAAAATCAATAATTAGTTTTAAATTCTGAATTACAGTTTATCATAATATATTAAATACAATCTAATTCAATATTAGTAAAAATCCTTTAATTTAAGATGAGCAACTAACTCTATTATATTATAATTTATATCTTATCAAATAATTATAGAAAATAAGCTAATCTAATGTAATATATATATTCTAATTTTAGTTAAATATTATATAAAACTCTTTTTACTATTAAATTATAACTAAGAAACGAAATATACCATTTTATACAAACATCATTTTATTTATAGACTTACTACTTCAAAGTATTACATAAAATAAAAAGACAATGTATTTGATTTGTTTAAAGAATGAAGAATTAAACAAAATCCTTTTTGAGACTTTCCATTATAAATTATGTAATAATGATGATTGAAAAAAGATATACAATCAAATATCACTTGTCTTTTTTTTAATTTTATAGCATTACTATTGTTTTTATCAATTAAATCTTTAGAATAATAGTATCAAATATAGAAAAAAAGAATAAGCTTTTATAATATTAGTTATTTATTATTATCACTAATGAAAATTAATGAACGTTTGTAGTTCTAATCAAAGTAAGAGGAAATTAATTTGGATAAGGAGGCTTCTGAGATTGCTTAAAGAATCATGGAAAAAGTTCGATAGAGATCTACTGCAAATTCAGGTCAAAAGGAGTTGTCTTCTTAATATCTTAGAGCAAGTGATTACAAGGCGAGACAATTATTTCAAAGCAATTAAATTGAAATTAGAAGACAATCTGAGAAGGTTACTAAAGGCCCAAGTCAAGAAATGAAACGAAAAGAAGAAGCTTTTGTATCAGAGTTTAAAGTCAGCAAAGACAAGATGCCTTAGGAATTGATTCGTTTAGAGAACTAATTAAGAATGGGAGACTTAAAAACATCTTTAAAAAGTCCACTTAAGCTTAATGAATAAGGAATTAATGATGGACATCAAAAGACAGTTAAAATGAATATTAATGAAAGTATTGGTTTTTAAGAATAGAAAAATGAGAAAATGAAGTAGATTTAAATTATGTATAAAATTAACTTTATTTTAGGAATGAACATAATCAGTAATTAAATTATCAAATGCATTAACTTAGCAGTAAAAGAATTTCATCTCCAAAGCGTGACCACTTAAAACTTGATAGTAATTAATAAACTAAATCTTCTTTGAGTTTAAAAACTACTTAATTATAAACTCCTGTTTCTGTCTAGTTCAAATAATAAGATATAGTTTACCAACTATTAGGAAGCTTGAAGAATTAAAAAAGAAATTAAGGAGAATATTTAACAAAACGATGAAAAGTTTAGTCTTTTCGACTTTTAAACTATATTAATTTTACTAAATTGTTAATAATAATAAAATAAACTTTTTATTTATAAACCTTTATTCTTGAAAAATTATTATTTTCATAAAATTTAAAACTAGTACTCAAACATCAAGTCCAACTTTAGAAAGAGTCACTCAAAATTCTTTAATATCTTTAAGGTTTTAAGTCTTATAATAAATAGATAAATACCTAATGTTGTTTTTAATTTTATGGGATGACGAGCAGGTTTACTAAGACCATCTTTCTTTTTATATCCAGGCTTATTGTCATACCAAAGAAATGAACAATCTGTTGCTCGGTTTGTAATAAATAAAGAATTGGAAGATAATTCCTTTTAACATTAAATTCGGTATTATTTTCTTGGACGTTATATAATGTCTTTGCTAAGATTGATATGCATATTACAATTCTATTTTTGGTTGTTATTTTAAAAGGTATTGATTTTTCTTAGGGTATTTTAATGTGTATTCTACTTTTTTTTAAAGTTCTTAAAGTGAATTGAATGTTGAAATATGATGTTGATGTGAATCACTTTTCTGAAACTCATATTATAAATATTATTGTTCCTTTTTTAACTGTTCAAAATTTATGACAGGAACTTTTGCCTTAAATATTGGTCCAATACGAAATCTATTTTATGTAAAATTCATTAATTTATTAATAAATGATAAAACTTTGAGTTTAACTTTTAATTCTATAGAAATGGGCAATGACTATCTCTAATGATCATTTAATAACATCTAGAATTTATTTTAATTATATATAGCTGTACGATACAATAAAACCAATATATATTATTGTTAATTTAAACATATTAAGCATATATAGAAAAAACCTAATTGAATAAGAAGTATTTAATTGGTATATTTAAAAATTGGAGAACTCTCAAAATCTTAGTGATCACTAAAGATAAAAAAAAAAACTCTAATATATATTAAGTAAATTAATAATATTATTATTCACTCTATTAAAATCAGTTTATAAATTAATCTAAACTAAAGAAGAACTGTAGAGTTTTAAAAAGAATTTATTTTAAATTTTCCTTAATACAATCTATATAATCAAACTTTTTAATTTTAAAATGACTGAATTATGTCCAAAAAATAAATAATATAATTTAATCTATTAAATAGATTACATATAATTTTTTCTAAAAGAATTAAAATAATACAATATTATAACAAAATATGGTTTTTTCAACGATCAGAATCATCTGACAAAAAGCAAATTTTAGACTTTCCTAATCTTTTAAAAAAACTTAATCGAGGTAAGTTTTAGAGACTCATTTATGAACTATAATTAAGTTTCTCTAGTAATTCCGAGTATAACATATTAATTTACAAGGAAGGATAACCTTTTTATTTTACTTGCAGTTAAGAAGAATTTTTATTTTAATCCTTTTGCAAATTTGATACTTATTTATTTTTAGAATTTGTTGTTTTGAGTTTATTTTTATTTAATTAATTATCTGGATGTATATATTAACATCTTGATCCATAATTGCACCATCCATTATCTAGAAAGTTTTTACATGGTTTTGTCTTGTAGTTTTAATGAAGATGTGATTTAGGTAAGAGCTCAGATTATCCATGAGCATATGAACACTTAATTATTAATAAAAAATTATACTTCTGAGCCAAATTTACAACTACCTTTGAGCATAAAGTTTTTACATAATTCAGTCTTCTTCTTTTTTGTATACTCCTCTATAAACTATTATTTTTCAAGACTAGAATTGAATATTTTTCTTGTAGGTTTTACTCTAAAACAATAATATTCTATTATTACCCTATTTCAAATTCATCCTCCTCTACTTCAGTACTAATTTAATCATAATAGAATGAAAAATAACCATCATTCTCGATAGCTTCTTTCATATTATTTTATTCCATTATTTTCTCTAATTTAATTATTAATAATAAAAAAATTTTTTGATTTGCATTTCAAATGATAAATATTCTATTAATCTATAAAAAATTGTATTAATTTTAGTCTATAAAAATTCTATTAATTTTTAGTCTAATAAAAATTCATCAATCACTTCCTGAATACAACTTATTTATTTAATTAGCAAAAAATGCTTTTGCTTTATGTCTCATCAATTTCAATGTATTACTCGTTAATCCATGAACAACAAAACTAGTCGGCTCAAGGTATAATTATTTAACATTTTCTAATCCATTAAGTCTCTCTAATTTTCCCTAAAAGTATTAATATTTTATTTTACTTATTTAGTAATTTATTCTAGGAAATATTTCACAACATCATTATTTTAACATAATTCTTCAAAAGTTTAACTTAACCCAAATTGATTCCCTAAATTAAGTACAAATTATTTATCAGGTACAATAATGGCAATACAATAACTTTTTGAAGAATCACCATAAACAAAGGCTTCAGTTACTCCATTTACTCTTTAATAAATTCCTTCTATTTTTTCAGGTGCAATGTATTCTCCTTGACTCAATTTAAAGATATTCTTGACTCTATCAATAATTTATAAGGCTCCATTAGGACGTATAACTCCCACATCACCAGAATGGATCCATCCATCTTTATCAATCATCTCTTTTGTTTTTTCATCATCTTTATAATATCCAGCAAAGATAGCATTACCTCTTAAACCTATTGTTTTTATATAAATATTTACAGATTTCTCCTCTTGGAGTTATTTAATTATTTTCATTAATATCTGTGCTATGATAATTCATTTCAGGAACATCAATTACTTTAAATTCTATATTAGGAAATACACCTCCAACATGTCCACTCATTGTGTCTTCAGCTTTTGTAATAAAAGATCCTCCACAACCTTCTGTTTATCCATATCCTTCAATAAAGGGAGCACAAATAACGCATTTTAGAAAATCTATTACTTCGGCAGACATAGGAGCTGATCCTGACAACATATATCTAACTCTTCCACCTAAAGCTTCCTTAGTCTTTTTAAATATTAAGTTATCCCAAAATCTATGTTCTACATGACCTCCATTTTTTAGATAATATAATTTGCTTGCTAAAGCTTATTCACATAATTTTTTTTAAACTCCTTACAGACTTTCGAATTTTTACTTAATTGCTGTATATATTCTGAAGTATAATCTAGGAACACTCATAAATAGAGTTGGTTTAACCATTTAAAGATCCTAATTTAATTTTAGAACATCTCCCCCATACATACAAATAGTGCTTCCATATCCCAATAATGTAATGACAACAAATCTCTCTAATACATGAGGAAGTGGAAGATAACTTAAATAAACATCTTTCTCGCTTGCTGCAATGCCTTAAAATACCACTCCTCCACTAACTGATACAAAATTTTTATGCCTTAACATAACACCTTTAGGTAATCCTGTTGTACCAGATGTGTAACTAAACGTAAAAATATTATTTTCAGTTAATTCAGTATATGCATGTATTTTAGCTTATCCTGCTTAAATTACTTATTCATAAGGGATAACTTTGAGTCCTTTTTAATTAAACTATCATAGTATTTAATATAATACTTTCTCAATAATTTCTTAGTTTAATTCATCAAAACATATAATATTTTTTAACGCATGATAATTTGATACTTTCAATATTGTCTAAGCATTTGACTCAGAAATAAAGAGAGTACTAAGTTATGTTTGTTCAAAAATATAAGGTAAACTTTCGAAACCCAATGTTTCATATAAAGGAATCATTGTATTTCCATAAAAAGTATTGGCTATATCCAAAATTAACCATTCTTCTCTATTCTTAGAAAACACTCCTATCATTTTTAATGGCTAATCTTCATATATTTCTGGTTTCGGAATGAGATTTAAGTTAATTATACCAGATCCCAAATATCTAAATTTAATGTAATTATTATTACTCTGCATTCTATTTAACTTCTTTGTATGTCAAATATCTGTAATGTTTACTATTCTAACCTGTAGAAATCTATCTTCCTATACACCTATTATCTGGATATAAACGACAAGCTCTTAAGAACATCCCTTATACAGTCTTTTCTCCCTCAAAATTGTCTAATAATTTAGTAACATGAGTAGGATTTCTATAAATATGACTTTCTCCTTCCTTTTTCTCTCCTACTGGAACTGCATAAACTAATGACTATCCTTACCCCATTTAAATTTAATTATATATAAATCAATTGAAAAGATATATCGTAATATACTAATAATTATATTATTTTCTTAGAGAAACTGATGAGTTATATGATATTTTCAATCAATAATAATCCTAATATTATATTCATCATTATTATTGTGGTACTAATTCATAAGGTATTTGTAAGCATTCCTCAGAACCAGAAATGTCTGATACATTATCTATATATATATTTAATATATATTACCTTCATTCTAATCTGATTACGTGAATCTTATTTCAAGGTTGTCGGGCACAATATAAGAAAATATTTTGAATCCATTCAAACCTTCTGGTATTACTGGGTATTCTCCACACAAATTTACACTTCTTCCCTTAAAATAGCATTGGTCAAACACTTATAAACAACTATTATTCTCTTGTTATTCAAAATCTACTTTCTTTTAAACCATTCTATGATTCAAAGGTTTAGATCCCTATTTAGCATTAAAATGCTTTTCACTAACATAATTGTGTCCATAATGAACTGTTTCATCAAATGGACTAAAAACATTTGGATCATTTATATTCCTATTATATACTTAATAACGAGGGTCATCTTCTATTATTCCCTAATATGCCTCATAATAATTTGGTCTCATATCATCATACCCATAACAATTAAAATAACCAACTTAATCTCTGTATCTCTGTACTTATTGTTTTGAATATTATTATTATTCCTATCTTAGCCCCATTTCTCTTAAATGATAATCAGGATCCTAATATTTTCCCCTATATAAATTAGAGTATCTCCCATAGCCTGGATAAGGAGGATAACTTTATCTAACCATCCAAGGTACACAACTTGAACTCTAAGTCTATTTATTATATGGATTAAGTCTGAAATATGGATTACTATTATAAAATGGATTTGAATTAATAACTTAACGATGTCTATAAGGATAACCACTATATGGATTTCCAAAATTTTAAAATCTATTTTGTCTATTCATACATCTATATCTCCATATTAAATCTTCATCAAATAATTCATCACCAGGATATCTACCTGGATAATTATATGGATAATGTGATTTTTTATTCTTTCTATGCTAATAATATGGATGATTTTTTATGTATCTTCCATTCTCATCATACAGTTCTTCATCTTCTTCCTCTTCATCTTCTTTATTTCCATTGCCTTTGCTTTTACCTTTTTTTTATTCTTTGTCTTTTGAACTAAATCCTCTCCATTAATCATCTTCATCCATCTCTTCTCCTTTTTCTTCAGCATTCTCTTTTTCTTCATTATTTTCTTGCTCTTAATCTTGTTCTTATTCATCTTCATTTTTTTCCTCTTCTTAATTCTCTTAATCTTAATTCTCTTAATCATCATTCTACTATTCCCCATTTTCTTAATCTTACTCTTTTTCTTCATCCTCTTGATCAGCATTGGATTTAGCATTAGATTTAGGCTTAGGCTTAGGTTTTGGTTTATCTTTATCTTTAGCCTTAGATTAACTTTTGTCTTATGCTTTACTTTTGGGATTTTAATTATTCTTATCTTAACTTTTATTTTATGTCTTATTTTTTGCAGCATTTTAAGATTTATTTGATTTTTATTATTCTTCCTCTTAATTATCTTCCTCTTTAGCATCATCTTCTACTTCTTCTTGATTTTTATTTGATTTAGATTTTTATTTATTGGACTTATTATTTTTAGGTTCCTCTTCATCTTCTTGTCCTTTCTAATTTTTAGGATTTTCTTCCTCATCATCTCCATGTAGTTTTATATCCTCCTCTTTTGCATTAACAAAATTATATTCTATAATAATTCTATCTGCAATTATGGGAATAGTATCATCTTAAGTAGTTTCATAATCATTATTTTTTCTATTTCCTCTTAAATTAAATTTTTAGCCCTAATAACCCTGTCCATTTAAATCTAAGTTTTAATTATCATATTCTCTATCATTTTTAGATATTTTATGATGATGATGATGAAAATGTTTAATTTTAGGGGTTCTATGATGATGGGTTAAATGTCTTCTATGATGAAAATCGTATTCACTGTCATAATCATTATACAAAGATATATAATCGTAATATTGATCATAATCATCTGCGTATTCATATTATTTTCTTTTACTATGATATTTATTACTTTCTGAAATATCCTCTTATTATAAATTAGATCCTTTATTATCTTAATTTATATGTATATCTTATTAATTATTTTAAGTTGAAAATACCTATTATTACTATTATTATTATTATTATTACTATTATTATTATTATTATTATTATTATTATTATTATTATTATTATTATTATTATTATTATTATTATTATTATTGTTATTATTATTATTATTATTACTATTATTATTAACTATTAATATTTTAAGCTTATGAATTATCTTAATCATCCAAAATAATCTCTTCAACTTTTGCTTATTATTCAATTATCATACCATCTTATTAATTAATCTAGTTTAATGAAGAAGTTTATTGTAATTCTAGTATTTAATTTGATGCTTATTATAAAATTTATTGCTATTAGTCACTATTTTTTGTTTCATCTATTTAATTACTTTAGATTGGTATATAACTGCTAATAGCTTGCTTATTCTCATTAAATTCAAAAACTTCAACATCCTAGCTGTCTTAATTCACCCAACTAATTGGATTTTCATACACAATATAATCTAGGTTTTACTCCTTCTCCTCTTCCTTCTATAATAAACTTTATTACTTTTATTCACTCTATTATACTAATGTTTCTTCATTAATATCTTAATTAATTTCCTTATTATTTTATTAATCATTATCTCTTAAAAAAATTTCTGGATCTTAAGGAGTATAAACTCCATTTAATGTCTTATACATTGGTTTCTAATCTAAATTGTTAGATAATTAAAAAGTTGGAATATTATTAGATTCATTCTCAGAATTATCTTTAATTTTAAAATTTTAAATTGGTTCAATAATCAAGTTTATGTCTTTCTATTCTACTTCAGTATTCACAGAGGCCTAATATTTAGAGTAAGTTGATTCTGATTCCATAGAGACTGAATCCTGTTATAAAAGGATTCCATTAATTTTTAATAATTTCTTGATTTTTTCCAAAGATTTACAATTTGATTGTTAAATTAATATTGTTAATTTATCAATTAAGATTTCAGGTTGATATTATTATTAGGATTCAAAAGAGAAAATATAATTTTGCCACTTTTTAACGTCATAACCTAACTTAGATTTAATAATAAATTGTACTTTTTTTGGTTTGAATACTATATATAAAACTTTGTGTATTGTTACAGAACTCCTAATGCCATATATATGTAGAATTATTGATTTGAATCAAATTTTGCATAACCAAAGAACAAGAATTAGTTTTAATTTATTAAAGAATTTCATGCTCACTTAAAACATTAGCATAAAATATATTATTCAATAAGTTAAAATCTTAAAGGAACTTATCCTTAGAAAACTAGGCTAATATTATTAATGATTTTACCTTTTAATATATTTTTTGGATAAATTTAAAGAATATCTATATTTTATATCAAATGTTGTAACTTTAGATCAGTTTTACATTAATTTATCTCACAAATTTTATTCAATTAATTAAAGTTTCCAATAATACTTTCTATTTATAATTCAATGTTTTAAAGTGTTATAAATACCATTGAAAAGAAAATTGATTTAGGATCATCTGATTTTTATTTTAAACTAATTTTTCCATAATCCTTTATAGTGAATTCTTTGAATTAGGTCTGTGAAAATGTAATTATATTAAAATATATTTGATTCTCTTTATCAATATTAAATTTAACTTGTTTATATAATAGACCACCTATGTAATTGCTCTTTATCTAATAATCAGCAAAATTAAAATACACATTTATCTAAAGTATAATTTTCATTTTACATCAATTTCTTTTTCATTCTAAAATATTAAAACGTCTTTATAATCCTAAATTTAATTTGTTGAATTGATTGAAACCTAATAATTGGAATTAGATGTTTCAATTCCAAACATGCCATTTTCTAATTTTATTATTTATAAATATTCATCTATGGCATTCAAAATTTCACAATAGAGTTTTGAATTGATAATTTGGTTTTCATTAAAGAGTTCTTTTTAAGCACATACTGACATAATCAGTGTATAAGCGAGCAGAAAAGTTGTCCGTTTTAAGAAAATTTTCATTCAAAACAAATAATAAAAAAAATTTATAATTAATTTAAAGCATATATAAGAGTAAGTTTATTTTTATTATTTATAATTAAAAATATATATGTTCTTACTTAAAATTATCAAAAATAAATAAAATATATATTAAAATTATGAACAATATAGTAAATATTTTTGATTTTAAACTTTCTTTATAACTTTAAATAAAACTCAGAAATCATACTTATATAATGATAAAAAAATAATCTTTTATAAAATGAACAATTTAAGAGTTATTACAAATTGTTTATTTAAACTTTAGATAAGTCTAACAATTTAGGGAATATTATCATTGCAATATTAAAAATTTGATAATTAATTAACTCATTAATTTTATATCATCTCTTAAACTAATCTATCTCCATTGATTATATGTGTTGTACAAATTTGTATATCTTTTTCTAAGTAATATATATATAATTTAATTACTGTAACGCAATCCTAACCAACGAATTGCTGCTATTTCACCATATGTGATACCTCCTACTATGTAAATAACATAAATTTAATTTTGTTCTTCTTTTATTTCTTCTCCTTTAAGTTAATTTAAATTTTATTGCATAACTAGTTCACCAGGTAATTCTTTTAATGCTTGTAAAACCAATGGTCCCCAAGTGTTTTTAATGATTAATTCTTCAAAAATTCGAACTCTCATTAATAAGTAAAAAATACATTATTGGTGCATATGCTAAAAAAACATATGATATATCCTCTGGAGCATCATGATCAACATCTTCATTAATCAGACGCAAAGGTTTTTCAATTTTTTCCCAGATATGAGTATCATTTAATTTTTTTCCAATTAAACCTATTTTTTCACAATTTTCAAGTGTTAAAATGTGCTCTATACCATACATATGCAAAATTTCTCTACGATAAAAATCATAGAGTTTGGTCTTCATTCCATTTTAGATTTAATTGTATAGACTAAACAATCGAATAACTTTAGTGATTGGGGCACCAAAAGAAATAAGATTTTCTATCATTTATTCAACTTATGATGACTTAGTTTAAAGTATAGCATGAACTTCTTAATTAACGCACATATTAAATAAAATGGATTCTAACTATTTACTTAAATGTTAACTAACAATAAGATCTGTAATAGTGTAAATTATTACGGTCAAGAATAATGTTTTGTTCTTTTGGTATCTATCTTAATTTGGTAAGATATTAATTGATTTCACTCATATTCATTTTATTATCTTATTATTTCATGGATTAAATCATCTATTTGTTATTTTATCTCTTCTCTTCAAGTATCCTCTAACAATGCTTTATATTCATAATTTTGATTCTATTGTAATAAGAATCATTGAGTTTCATTGTTTTAGGTCTATCTTTTAAAGCTGATTCATTTTTAATAATATCTAGATTAATTGAATTGTGTTTAATAGAAAACACTTCATCAATCAAAGCCTCATATGTAAATGGAGTAAGCATAGGAGTGATAAAATCTACCTTTCTATCAATGATCAATAGTGTATGCATTTTAGATTCCTTAAAACTAATTTCATCTTCAATTAATTCACCTTATTGCTTTTTTTATTTGAGTATATCAATGACAAATTTAGAGTAATTTCCCTTAGCATAAATATTCTTAAATTTACCATGTACTAGTTCCATCCTTTATATAGACTCTGCTACAGTTTATAAAATTGACATATCTTATCCAATATATAATGGTCTAAGACAATTATTCATTTCTAAAGAGAGCAAATCATTAGCTAATGGTATTAAATCAAAATTAAAATTTGTTATGATTAAATCACCCAAAACAGCTTCTTTTTCTAAATAATCTTTGCATACAATATTCATTCTAGGACAGAATATTAATAAGTATTTTTTATTAAAATTTGCAAGTTAATTGTTCCTAATGATTCTTACTATTCTTTTCATATATTGTCTATCAGGATTTACAAAAAATATAATCTAATTAGCTTCTACTTCTAATTAATCAGAATCAATATAATAGATTTAATCAACACCATTTTCTTTCAAAATCTACATAGATTCAACAACCAAATTAAGCATATCTGCAATAAATGGATCAATTACAAGTACTTTTTTGCCAACAAACTAAATTATTCATAATGTTTAAAGTCTTACTTAATTCAATTTATTGATTAGCTTTTATCTCAAATACTTCTGATATATAGCAGTTTAAAAGGACGATTACTGATCTTCAAATTGACTTAAATTGACTTTAACAGAATTGGAAGGGATTCCACTCTATTTAACTTTAGATGCCACTTATTCAAATGAGTCTTTGATAAATTGGAACATTTATTACTTCTGAATATTAATATTTTAACGATATTGAAATTATGCTGCAAAAGAAGGACTCTGATAAGGAAAACACTTCATATAATAACAAAGATTCATAAAAACAAAGGGTGATTGGAGATTACTTATTAGGTTTGAAGTTTTTACTATTAGAGTTAAAACTCTTGGAGTAGGTACTTTTGGTTTAGTGAAACTGGGAGTCCATTAAATTACAGGAGAGAAAGTGGCCATTAAAATATTAGAGAAGGAGCGTATTGTGGAAGTTGCAGATGTAGAAAGAGTCTCAAGGGAGATACATATTTTAAAATTGATTCGTCATAGACATGTTATCTAACTATATGAAGTAAATTTAAACCTAACAATATGATAGATCATAGAAACTAAGAAGCATATATTTTTAGTAATGGAATTTTGTGATAATGGTGAACTTTTTGACTACATTGTTAAAAATGAAAAGTAATACTCTAGAATTTAATTAATTAGACTTGAAGAAGTTGAAGCTTGTCGGATATTCTAAGAACTGATCTCTGGTATTGAATATATTCATAAACTAAACATCGTACATAGAGATTTAAAACCAGAAAATCTTTTATTGGATCATTCAAACTAAATTAAAATTGTTGATTTTGGACTTTCCAATACTTATAAAGAAGGTGAATTACTTAAAACAGCATGTGGAAGTCCTTGTTATGCTGCACCTGAAATGATTGCTGGCCATAGATATTAAAGTATCTTAGTTGATATTTGGTCATGTGGTGTTATTTTGTTTGCCACTATTTGTGGTCAATTACCATTCGAAGATAAACATACAAGTGAATTATATAAGAAGATACTTAATGGATAGTATACAATACCATCACATGTCTCATAAGATGGTTAATCCTTTATTAAAGGATTATTGAATACTGATCCTAAAAAGAGATTTGATATTGACTAAATTAAATCTCATCCATGGTTTAAGTTGTATAAGAGAGTTCATTCAATTCCTTAAGGAATAATTATTGGATATAGTCGAATTCCAATTGATGAAGACATTGTGGAATAACTTGCTCAAAAAGGATATAGTGCTGATTATATTAAGAAATGTCTTGATGCTAATAAACACAATAATCTAACTACAGCATATTTTCTCCTTCTAAAAAAACATTTAATTAAAGGAGGACAATCAACAGCAGATATTAATTCATAAAATTTCAATGAAAAACTTTTAGAACCAGCTACTAGACCTTCAAAACGTATGTCTCTATTCTAATTTAATAGCTCCTATAAGTAATTTATTAGATAGTTAATTAATGAAAACACTCAAACACAATAGATCTGGATCTTGCTAAAATAATTAAAAATCCCATACATAAGGAAGAGGAATGTCTGTTCCTTAGGTTGAAGATATTAGATCTATTTATAATGGATCTAAAAATTATCAGAATTCCTCATTATCAATTGAAGTAATCTTTTTAATCTAATTTCAAATAGGATCAGTCTTTTTTATTTGAAAGAAATAAATCTTAATCTTTCCAATAGAACAATCATAAGAAAATTCCTACTGATATACAAATCAATGATGCTTTGAATAAAACAACTTACATTAATACAAGTAAGAGGTCTTCTAATGCTTCGACTGTATCTCCTGGACATCAAAATAAATTGCTTTAATATTTGAGTAAAAAATATAATAATAATAAATTAGAATCATCAACAAAGAATACTACTCCAACTGCAGTAAGAGGAAATTCTTAATCAAAAATGCCATACAATAGCAAAACTACTAAGAATCAAAAAGTTTCTTATACAATTTTCGATAATAACAATAATTCTTTATTGGAAAAAAAGAAAGAAAATAAGCCAATAAATTTAACAGACACCACAAACATTGATAATAAGAAAAGATCTTTGCATATAGAAGGGGTAATTATTTGTATTTAAATTAACTTAGGATCTCTCTATGCCTGCAAGTACTAAACCATAATCAATGCCATATCAATTATGGCTAAAGATGAACAGTAGAAAAGGATCGAGAGATTATAGCAGTGGGGGATCAAAGACAAAAAAATCAAGTGTAAGTGGTAAAACTAATGTGAATCAGAGCTTCAACTTTGATAAGAGAGCATGATTCCTCCTACATAATTAATTTATTTTTCGAATATTTATTTTAATATATGTTCCTTTCTTATTAGAAGCATTAGAATGAAATAATCTATTAAAATAAAAGCAAATATTTATCTATTGTTAATATACTGATAAAATAGCTAATATTTATGCTCATTTTTCTACTTTTCCAAGCCATAAAGCCAAAAGTGACTTTCCTTTAACTGCAATAATCTTAAATCTGACCCCTGGAATATCACCGACTGCATGTCCCTTTCTTCCGAATCCAGCTACTGTGACTTCATCATTTTCATTTAAAAAGTTTAAGCAACCATCCTTGGGAACGAATGCTGAAATTTTTTTACCATTCTTTTTCAATAACACTCTAACACACTTTCTGACAGCAGAGTTTGGTTATTTGGATTCACTAAATGAAGTTTATAAAATTAGTTTTACACTCCGATTTTTTCAACAACTAATCCTTTAGCATGTGATGCACCCATAAATGGATTCTTATATCTTGATCCAATCATAGCCTTATTATATTCTTTATCAGCCCATCTGTTAACTCTTCTGTGATCTTTGAGCTTTCTTCCTGCTCTCATACCTCTGGGTTTACCAACTCCCATGATTAAAAGATTTTAATTAAATTATTTAAATTTTCATAATATGATTAATACAATATAAAATTGCATAAGATAAATCTCAAATATACATCATCATAATTATTTTCTGTCAATATAACCTGAATTTCTAACAACTGAATTTCTTCCACTGTTGTTAGTTCCATATGTACTATATCCTCCAGGAGCTATAGTAGCTCCTTTAATGCTACTTGTTTCAAATTAAGTTGTTATTCCAGTACCAGATGGTCCAGTTCTTTTGATTTCACTTTCTTTGGTTACTGTAACTTTACTCTTTTTCAAGGCTTCTAATTATGTTTCAGCCATTGTAAGTTTTTCTGAAATATCAGAATTGATTTCATTTTGCTGTTTAAATTTCTTTTTCCATAATTCTACTTCTCCTTACAGAGAAATAATTTACTATTCTGATTATGAAAAACTCTCCAATTAAATTTCCAATTCTCTTATTCTTTAGTCTAAGGATTCAAGTTCATTATCTTTATCATTCATGAGTAATTTAAGTTTACGAATTTCTTAATCTTTAAATTCATTTTGTTCTTGGGAATTTTTGAGATCATCTGTTAAACTGCCTTAAAAATAATTATAAATAATTACTAATTTTCTTTTTAAGTTGTCTAATCTCATCATCTGCTCCTTAATTTTTAGAATTAGATTCCTACAGTTATTTGTATCTTAATTTCCATTAGTCTAATTCATCTTATAGTTATTTATTTGATTATCTGAGACCTTGTTCTTATATTTTTAATTCTTTGTTAGTATTAATAAGTTCATTTATCTAGAATGTTAAGTTATAATAATTACTTTGGAATCATCTTAAACATATGAAATTTAAGGTGCATTTCCTTTTAATCTGAGATTTTCTTGTTAAAGATCAAACAGATATACCTCCAATTACACTTAAATTACATAATTAGAATACTGCATTTAGTTTTCCACCTAGAATCCATATCATCTAAAGTAACAACTTATAAAGGTCTTTCCTAATGATGCACTTCAGCATTATTTAGTTAAGTAGATGCAATCCTAACAGAGGGAGTGATTAGAAGCGGTTGTGATTATGTAATGCTTTATGATACAATAGGTGTGGTAGCAATTTATCTAGCAGAAAAGGGACTACCATAATAGATATATTTTATACGCTATTCCAATGTTCTGAGATGAGTATTATTAAATTAAGGTTTATTTTTACTAAGGACTATATAATAAAGAAGTGATTGTACTTGTATTAGAACATTTCAGATTGCCCTATGGATCCTTATTGCCCTATTCTAGGTGGCCTAATTAAATTGGATGATTAATGAAGGAGTGATTGTATTTGAGTATGATTATATCCTGCCTAACTATGAAATAATTATGTTAGATTAATACTCCATTATGAATAAGCTGTTATTAAATAAATATTTATGTTTAATGTATATCCCTTAAGGGCTGGTTAAGAAGTTGATCATAATTGTATAATGTTAGCAAAATATGATAAAACAATAATGTTGAATTGTGGTTTAGACATGACATATTAGGACAATAGCAGATTTCCTGATTTTTCAGTTTGAAGAAATTTTATCTAAATAGTTAATTGAGAAAAAATTGGGAATTAAATTTGTTGAATCGGTTTAATCACACATTATCATCTTGATCATTGTGGTAAATTTCTATTCTTCGCAGGATTATATGGTTTTTTAATTATGATTATTTAGGTAAAGGTTATAATGGACCTGTAGTAATGTCCAGCCAAAGCATTGTTATTATACATTTTAGAAGAATATAGAAGAGTAATCTATTAATATTAACTCAATAGATTTGGATGACGCCAAAAGAAATTAAGAATTCAAATTAAAATCTAAATAAGATTTTATTATCAATTCATAAATTAACACTGATCTATTATTAATTTATGATCATAAAAATATCAAAAAATGCTTAGATAAAGTTTAAGTTATAAGGCTTTATGAAACCAAAAATTTTGATGTGACTGCTTATTATGCTGGCCATCTATTAAGGATTGTATATTTCATGTGAAATATAAAAATGTTTCAGTAGTCTACACAGGAGATTAAAATTCTATTACTGATGAACATCTTGGTGGAGCCTATATTGATCAATTACAACCAGATCTAGTTATTTCAGAAAAGCGAATACTCAATAAATATCACACAAGCGAAAGAATTAGAAAATTAAATTTTTAATGCATGCCTAAGAAGTGTTGATAGAGGAGGAAAAGCCTTAACCCTGTATTCGCATTAGGAAGAGCCTAAGAATTATCTGTTTTTTTAAGAATCTTATTGGTAGAGAACCAAGTGAAAAGCAGAACTTTAGTATGTTGCTGGAATTATTAATAAAGCCAATTAATATTTTAAAATATTCAAATGAGAATCAGAAAAATATTTAGTAGTCATTTGTATTTTAGAAATCTTCAATTTCTAAAATATACAACCATTTGATATTGTCCTTGCATAGAAGATTGTCCCTGAATGGATATATAAAAAAGATATTTTATTTTAGGTTAAATATAATATAGAAAATATGTTAATTGAATCAATCAATTTAAAATAAATGGCTTCATTCATAAAAGTTGACTCTTGAAGAAGACACTTTTATCTTTACATAAAAATTGGTACAAAAATTTATATAAATTATAATAACCCATATTCTTCCTATTTATTTCCTTTTTTAATACCTCATTTCTGAAATGATCTTTTGAGCAGGTACTTTAGAAATTTAACTAAAAATCAATTATATATGGTACTCCTAGAATGTTTCATAGAAGTCTAAGTACGTAAGTGTTTAAAGATTAGTGTGGTATCCAAATAATAATTTAATAATTCCTAGATATCATGTACCTGAAACTTTAGGATAAAAAAATTAATATTGATAATTATGATATAATACTTAGGTATTTAATAAGTATTATATTATTATTGATTTTGGAAACAAAAAAAATACTTCTAGTATATCATAATGCAAATCAAAATTATGTCTTTTAGTGCTTATAGTGATAGTAGAGGAATGATATAGTTGAATCATCTTTAATAATAAATTATNAAAAATATCAAAAAATGCTTAGATAAAGTTTAAGTTATAAGGCTTTATGAAACCAAAAATTTTGATGTGACTGCTTATTATGCTGGCCATCTATTAAGGATTGTATATTTCATGTGAAATATAAAAATGTTTCAGTAGTCTACACAGGAGATTAAAATTCTATTACTGATGAACATCTTGGTGGAGCCTATATTGATCAATTACAACCAGATCTAGTTATTTCAGAAAAGCGAATACTCAATAAATATCACACAAGCGAAAGAATTAGAAAATTAAATTTTTAATGCATGCCTAAGAAGTGTTGATAGAGGAGGAAAAGCCTTAACCCTGTATTCGCATTAGGAAGAGCCTAAGAATTATCTGTTTTTTTAAGAATCTTATTGGTAGAGAACCAAGTGAAAAGCAGAACTTTAGTATGTTGCTGGAATTATTAATAAAGCCAATTAATATTTTAAAATATTCAAATGAGAATCAGAAAAATATTTAGTAGTCATTTGTATTTTAGAAATCTTCAATTTCTAAAATATACAACCATTTGATATTGTCCTTGCATAGAAGATTGTCCCTGAATGGATATATAAAAAAGATATTTTATTTTAGGTTAAATATAATATAGAAAATATGTTAATTGAATCAATCAATTTAAAATAAATGGCTTCATTCATAAAAGTTGACTCTTGAAGAAGACACTTTTATCTTTACATAAAAATTGGTACAAAAATTTATATAAATTATAATAACCCATATTCTTCCTATTTATTTCCTTTTTTAATACCTCATTTCTGAAATGATCTTTTGAGCAGGTACTTTAGAAATTTAACTAAAAATCAATTATATATGGTACTCCTAGAATGTTTCATAGAAGTCTAAGTACGTAAGTGTTTAAAGATTAGTGTGGTATCCAAATAATAATTTAATAATTCCTAGATATCATGTACCTGAAACTTTAGGATAAAAAAATTAATATTGATAATTATGATATAATACTTAGGTATTTAATAAGTATTATATTATTATTGATTTTGGAAACAAAAAAAATACTTCTAGTATATCATAATGCAAATCAAAATTATGTCTTTTAGTGCTTATAGTGATAGTAGAGGAATGATATAGTTGAATCATCTTTAATAATAAATTATTACTTTTGTTCATTGAGAATATCATAGAATGAAAAATCTTGTAACAAAAATCATTGAAAAAAATCTAAATTAGAGTTGATTGTCCTACTAAATTTGTATAATTGGATATGAGAAATCTTATCAGTTGATCGACCTTTAAACAATAAAGGGAGAATTCAATAAGTATATGAAAGGATACTTATTGGTATATAAAGGATGAATGGCTTGGGTTTCTGATGAAAATGATATTTTGAAAGAAGTCAATTAATTATTCGGAATAATGTAATTAGAAAAAGGATACATGAGGTAATATAAAATGAGTGGTTATATATTGTGAGTGTAATTAATTTATATATTAATCAATCTCTATAAGTAACAATCGAGTATGTTTATTATTATTTACTTTTTGTCTTTGTTCTAGCATTTATTGAATGTGATCTCAATTTTGGTAGTCTTAACACATCCCTCTTAATAGTAGATTAATCTAATAAACTTTAGTTTGTTGGAGTAACTAATTATGTCTTATTTGTGTTTTACATAAGTGTGTCATAATTATTTTCCAAATCATATTATTATAAATAACCTAACAATTAAATGTCGTTTAATTTTATTATGTTTCTGAAACCCTTAAATTATTTATTTTAATTTAATATCTAATCTGTCTATTTGGATTACTATGATAATTATTTTTAAATAGTTTCTTTTTAATTCATAATCTAATAACTCAATCGAACTCCTGGTTACAATTTAAAATCTTAAGTTTATGACTCTATAAATTCAACTATAGTTTCTTCATTTTCTGCTTATCTTCGCTTCTATCTTATTTGTTCTACAAGTTTAGGTTTTGAAATCACAGCATTATTATCAGTTTATGGTACTTCAAATGGCAATGTAGTTATTACATCCTTTCTGATTTAATTATTAGATCTTGCAATAGGATCACAATTATAATCATAAGTGTATTCTTTTGATCCTATTTGCATTATCAATCTATTATATTACTCTTTCATCAATCGTTTTTCTTTAGATCGTTCTCTTATCATTTATTCTTTATTTGATTTTTCAATACATTTTTATTCCATTATTCTTCTTTCATTTGGATATTCTTCAACATATTCTATTGTTTTTTATCTAACCAATTAAGGTTCATAGTCTTCCCATAATTAAGTTGGTAACATAAATTTATGCTTTGGAGGTAATTCTACTTTTGGTGTCATCCTAACAGAAAGTGGAGCTATGTCTTTTATATCATAGGCTCTAAATCTTTCCTTCTAAGTGCTCTAAGCTTCGAAATCCTCTTACTCATTATAATTTTGAAAATAAGGATCAAAACATTTCTAATGCATCATATTGTAAGCCAAATTAGCTGCAAAAGAAGCACTTGATTAAGATTCTAAACTTGCAAAAATCTTATCCTCAACTCCTGTCATAATTTTGTTTATCAAATAAGGCATGATAGTTTCAACTATTTCTAAATATTCCATTAAAATATTTGAATATGAAATATTATTCAGAATTATCAAAAATTAACATGATGAAAAGGACTCTAATCATTTAAGCACAAAGTTAAAATATAATAATTTTGGTTTTATATTATGAATTAAAATGAGAATGACTTATTTTTTATAGCAAGTTCAAGAATAAAATAAAAGATTTTGATGTATTCAATCAACTTTATTTATTTTGGGCATTGGTAATTCAATATCCAATCAACTAAATATATAAGAAATAAATTTGAGAGGAAATTCCATCACTCAAAAAATAGAAATACAGAGAAGAATTATTTTTATTATGTTTAACAATCTATAAATTTTTGAATTTTATTCTATAGAAACTATTGATAGTAAAAGTGTGTCAGCAAATAAAATTAGTATCTTATTAATTGATGGAAATAAAAAATCTTAAGTAGAAGAAATAAATGTTTAGAGTGAAAGAAATAGGCAATTTATAAACCATAAGTAACTGGAGTTAAACAAAAATTTGATCTAATTAAGAAATACAATCACATTTATAATAAGGCATATCTTCTAAAACAATTTATTCATTTCTAAATTTTTTTAAGATTTTTAATAAATACTAATAAGGCAATATATTATTACTAACCAAATATATGTTACAGATTAATCTTATTTTTAATTTAGAAATAAAGATAAAATTTTTTGTTATTATTATATATGAATTTATAAAAAAATTTATAATGTAATAATTCTAAATTAGATCTCAAATAAATTAAGATTTATATGATAATTTTATTTTAGTTAATTATGATTAATTCATCTCCATCTCAAAAAAGGGACAATCCATACACTTCCCATGGAAATCATTTTAGAAAAATTTTTAGTAAAGAAAAATTTGAATTGGGGGGTAGTCATTCATCAATATATTTCGAGAAAATAGGGAGCTAAAGAGTTTGGGCTTTTTTAAATTTTTTTAAGCCTTGCTCTCCAAAATTCAGTTACCCTAGAAATGTGCAAATGATTTTAAAGAAGAAAGAAACTTAGAGGGGCTCAATACTCAATTTATGAGGGTATGACGAAGAAAATAAGAAATAATTTTTTAGGTTGAAATTGTTTAGTTAATTTTAATTTAGATTCTTTAATTCTAGCATTAAATTTTTTAAATTATTAATTGCTCCTTATGCTCTATATTAAAAAATAAAAATTATTAATTTTTTTGATTATGCTCTTAATTACTAATAAATTTTCTTATTTTTACAATTAGTTTAGAAATTTATTGTGCAATTTAACAAAAAAATATACACTTTTCTTTTGTCTCAAAATCTAATTTTACTATAGTTCTTTATTTTTCCTATCAGAATGTGTTTATATATGTTAAAATTGTCTGGAGCTCTTTGAGAATTTTCGATTATAAATATTAAAGAATAGACAATAAATAGGTTTGGCTCTTTGGGAGTTGTGAGTTTTTACTGACTATTTGATACCAGTTACATTAGAGTTACTAACCTAGAGGAGCAGAATAAAGAGAAAAATTAATGGAGCTTCTAATTATTTGCAACTTAGAGAATTAAAAGAGCCTCCTAAATATAAAAGAAAGGACTTAAATCTATAATGGGGACTATTAGAAAAAATCAAGAGGCAAAGGGCTAAAAATAACTTGATATATAAAAAAATATATATCGAGTTTTAAGGGAAGTAAGGGAGCGAGAGGATGAGATGAATTACTCTATAAATTTTTGGAGGCAAATAAATCCATTTGAAAACTTTGGAAAAGTCTGAAAAAAGTCTTACAGTCAAGGTGTCCTAATTAAAATAGACATCTATAACAATATTCATAAATATTTTAATTTATATATAAGGAGTCCTTAGAATCCAATTGAATCAATTGTTGTAATTTTGTAAATGTTCTTGTCAAAAGAAGTGTTTTGAATGATTTGAAATGCAAATAAAAATATCTAATCTGATTTTCTTCATTAGGACTTAGAATTTATATTCAAAATGAAAAAATCCATTACATAATTTGGTTGATAACAAAAAATAGTACAGTATATAAACATTTTTTATTAAATGAATCTCTTAAAATTGTTATAACTCAGAATACGCAAGAGTTATAAAAATAAGTTAGTCGATTAAATTGAGATTAAAAAAGTAATTTGAAATAAAATGAATAGTATTTTTTTTTTTAATTTAATATTAAATCATACCATTTAATATGTTATTTCATTATGACTTAAATATTCGCATACATCTCCAATAATTAAATTCTAAAATGTAATATCATCTTTGTCTTATGGAGTAATTATTATTAATTCAGGGTAATCTTATTTAAATAGTGTAATCATTCCTTCAATATTTTGATTTAATTTCATAATTTTAAGTTAAATCTTTGCATTTTTGATATGCGTAAAAATTTGGCTTTATTGTAATTTACAAGGGCAGCCATCTGGATAGAAGTCTTTAAAATTATGATATTTTTTTCCATGTGGAGGGGCATCACCAATTAAATATAACAAATTTTAATAATTGCCACTCCAATTTAATTACGAAGAAGCATACAGGCCATCTAAAACAGCCTCAGGTTCATCATCTCCTCCAGTTGCTGACAATTAATCCAAAAAAGATATTGCTTAGTTATCTGAGGTAAATTCACAAACATCAACAGCTTTCTCATTCTAATTATATGGAACCTTATGATCTTTATATGATACAATCGCAAATCTCATATCAACATCAATATTATCAATAGTTTTATATTCTTTAGTTTTTTAAATAATACTTTTTATGATTTTTTTGCAGTTTTCTATGTAAGAAGACATTGATCCTGTTGTGTCTATTACAAAAGCTATTTTAATCCCTTGTATACATTTTTCTTTGTGAGTCAATGTACATGGAAATGAATGAGAACTTATCTTGTTATCTTAAGTATGCCAAGCATCTTGAGAACAAAATTGATATTCTCCATTTATTTTTATACATAATGGACAGTAATAATTACATTGACCTATATTATCCATTTCATTTGGAATTGGATGAGCCCAACCTTTAAGTTTCCAAAAGTCTAGACATAATACTTCATCAAAATTCAAATGTTAAAATCCTGCATATTTTTCCTTTGAGTGCTTTGCTTTAATATTTACTTATTTTTCTAAACATTAACTTTCGTCTTTACATTCAATTAAATGATAATGACTTTTTCCTCTTCTTTTACAACTCTAATCACAAGTTTCTGGAGTAGATTTATCTCCAACTTAATATTGTCTCAAAGTACTATTATTTTAGTCTTAAATAACTATGTTCTCTTCTTATCCTTCTTTTAATGTAAATATCTAATTTTCCTTATTTATATGAACCTATGAGGAATGACATCCAGGATGCCCATATTTCAAATCACAAATTTTATTACACTCAGGACATTTTTAATCACAAAAATGAAATTATTTTTCTGTTTCTATCATGCAACTATGTACTTATTAATGTTCAAGTTTGTCTGACTTGATATCTCTACAGCATTTCTTTTTTTCATCACCTTAAGGTGTATATTTAACAAATGAGAATTTAGATTACCACATTATTTCAACTTGAGTATATGTTATTTAACATACACCTTTCTCTTAACACATTTCCTTACACTCATGCTAATCTCCACATAAATGATTTTATTATTCTACTGAATGTTAATGCTTCTTTTCACATTGTGTATTACAAAATTATGAATGTTTATGTTTTTCTTTACATCTTCTATCACATAATATGCAATTTGCTGTACAATATAATTCTTCACATTCATGATTGGTATGTGGAATCGACCTATCTTTATGGCATTTTTTACTACAATACTAACATTATTCTGCACATGGATGATCATTAGTACAATTATGTTATCTAGAATGGTTTAATTCTAAATTGCATTTTTGTTCACATAAAGTTATTTCACATTAAATATTGCATTTATGATTTTTAGAGGAACATAAATGCTCTTATTTCTCATCATGACCAGCCTTTTTATCGCAAATTTTATCCGGACATATTTTACAAATCTAATTACATTTGTGATCTTCTCTCAAACAAGAATGTACATTAAGATTTAATTTAACTAATTCAATCAATTTTTATTTTAAACTAATGAATCTTTCAGCATCTGTTTCTACTCTAATGTAAATTTCAAGACTATTTATTTTTTCTTTTTATTGAATTAAGAGGTCTTCTCTTTGCAATTCCATATTTTACTATTCTTTTTATAAATCTTCAAGTGAATCATTTTTATAATTTTCTTTCCCATCCCAATCTTTAAGTAATTATTCATGTGCCTACTTTTAGTTTTCTAAAAGATTAAATTTCATCAAATGCTATTACAAAATTTATAATTCATTCAGATTTTCATTCATTTAAAGAATTGATTATTGTATTTATTAGTTTTCACTAATAATTTATCTTTCTCTTACTTTCAAATTATTTTATTCTTCTTATGTCTTATGTAATTTTTATTTACAATTATTTAATTCTTATGACAAAATTTCTTAATTTTTATTAAATTCCTTAAATTAATTCAAATAATTATTAAGTTATTATTCTTTTTCTTTTTTTGCATTCACCAATTATAGATATTTCAATTACTCATCAATTAATTTTTGAGATTTTTAGATTTCCTAATCTGCATTTCGAATCTCTTCCTATAATTTTATTATTTCTTTTTAATGATCTTCACATTCTTATCTTTTTAAAGACAAAAACATTTTTTTTATATTCATAGATTAGACTTCATTAATCTAATCTTCCTAATCATGCAATATCTCTTCTTAAATTTCTTCTTAAAAAATTTAATCTATTTATAAATTAACATCTTTTAGATTCTCCTCTTTTATTCCTTATTATTTAATAGTTTGCTTTTAATTATCTAACAAATTACTTTGAAAAGTTTCATCTTTCATTACTATTTCAAAACTCTAAACATATAGATCCACATTGGAAAAATTATCAACATCGATATTCTTCTTTAATTCTAATTCCTATTAATTGCATTATTTAAT